GGAATGAGGAGAGATGTTAGCAATGGAGATGCCTATGGGAAGAGAATGATGTGATAGTTTCCATAATAGGTCTTGTATTTTTTTGGGGTAGTGCTTATGATGTATTTCTTGCCAAGTTAAAGAGGGAAATATGTGAGAGGGATAGTAAGGAATGTAAGGTGGTGAAGGAGTATGCATGAGGATAGAACGAAGGGTAGAGAGTGGGGGGGAGGAGAGAATGGTTGAAGGAGAGGCTTGTTGTATAAGTTTTGTAGCATTCAGGCATGATCTTAATGGTTCAATGTGAAGGTTAGTACTTCTTTTGTTAGTAATACATAAAGGAAGAGATTGCTTAAAGTGAGAGATGGTAAATTGGTTGAAGGTTTCTATCCAATAGGGAGGAGGATTGTTATCAAAAACTCTGGTAATGAGTTTGGCATGTCTTATTCTTAATTCTAATTTGATATCAGGGAGAGAGATGCCACCCTGTTTAGTAGGAAGTGTGGCAATCTCAAAACGAGGATGAATCTTAGAGTTATTCCATATAAAATTATTTATGGTAGATTGAAGGGAATTTATAATGTTAGAAGGAGGAGGACAGATAGTAGCATAGTACCAGATTTTTGATAACACAAGGGATTTTGTAATGAGAACTCTTCCTTTAAGGGAAAGATTTCGGGAAGACAAGGAGGAAGTTTGAGATTTGATTTTTTGATTAAGGGAATTCCATAAAGAGTCTGTGTTTGAAGGATCAATTGGAAGGGAAAAGCCTAGAATGTTTAGCTGAGAGGAGATAGGAGGAGAATTATGTGGAAGGTGGAGTGAAGAGGATGGAGAAATGAGAAAAAGAGAAGACTTTTGTGTGTTGATGAAACCACCTGTGGCAAGATTGTAGAGAGGGAAGATAGAGTCTAAAAGAAGGTGTAAGTCAGAAAGAGAGCAACCTATTATGGTTGTATCATCAGCATAGGCACGAACACAGAGAGAAGGTATAGAACGTATTAGATTAAAGAGAGGTTCAATGGATAAATTGAATAAAAGAGGGGAGAAAGGGTCCCCTTGAGGGACACCTTGAAGAACAGGAAAAGGAGGGGAAATGGATGAATTAATTTTGATGCAGGTTGTGCGGTTATGATATGAACAGTGTGTTAGATTTATAAATGATTGAGGAAAAAGGGATAAGGATAAGACATGGTCTAGCCATGAATGGGATACCCGGTCATAGGCCTTAGACCAGTCTACAGATAGGACAAAGGATTCAGGGGGAGGAGAAGGGGTAGTGATGAAGGAATTTATGTCTAATATTGTATCATAGATGGAACAAGATTTCATAAATCCAGTTTGATCTGGATGAATAAGAAAGGAGGCATGTGTTTGGAAACGGTTTGCAAGGATAGTTGAAAGAAGCTTAATATCAGTGTTGGAGAGTACAATAGGACGGAGATTGTTAACATAATTTGGATCAGTGTTTTTCTTATGAATAAGGGTAATAATAGTTTGAGACCATGAAGAAGGAGGAGATGTAGAGTCAAATGCAATAGAGTTAAAAATGGGAATAAGGACTTTTGATATTTGGGTAGGAAAGGTTTTATAAAATTTATAGGGAAGGCCATCTGGACCAGGGGCTGAATGATCTTTTTTGGACTTAATGGCTTCATATAGTTCTTCAGAAGATATAGGGAGGTTTAAGGAGGAAATGGAAGAGGGAGGAAGCTTAGGAATATATGTTGATAAAGGGGTATGGGTGAATGGTGGAGGAGAGGACCAGAGTGAGGAGAAATAGGATTTGGAGTGATTGAGTAAATCATTTATATCAGTTGAAAGATGAAGGGGAGAACCAGGAGAAGGGGAAGAAGGAACATAAAGTGAGTTAATATTCATTTGAGCTTGGACTTGCTGAAAACGTTGAAAAAAATATTTTGATGGAGTCTCTCCTTGTTCATAGTACTTGATTCGTGATCTTAGGGTTAGGTATGAAAATTGTTTATGTTCAAGTTCACTTAATTTTTGTTTGAGAATAGAAATAAGGGGAGAATTAGGGTTGGATTGATTTTGTAAATGCTTAATCCTATTTGAAAGGTTGAAGATAGAAGATTTTGTTTTCTGAGAAAAGGATTTGGAGATAGATTTGTAATAATTTTTTATATCAAGTTTGCATCTATCCCAATCAGAGGAAGAGGGTGGAGAGGGAAGAGAAGAAAGAATGGTAGAAATATTTGATTGAATGTGAGGGATTGAGAGGTAAGAAGTATTCATACACCATAAAGAGTTGTGTTTTTTAAGAGGTGTACGTTTAAGAACAACAGCACGATGATCTGAGAGAGAGTTCATAAAGATTGTGAATGTAGTGAGAGAAGAGGAAAAGAGAGAAGGGGATATAAGAATATAATCAATACGAGATTTAGAAGAATATAAGATATTGTTTCTAATAAGAGTATAATGGGGAGAACCAGGTAGTGATCCAGCAAGGTCAATCATGTTAGGAAAGAGTGAAGGAAAGAGAAGGAGATTGGGAAGGTTTTTAGAGAAAGGTTGTGATGACCATCTGTCACGAAATTGAGTTGTAGTATTAAAGTCTCCAGCACATATAAGATTAGGAAAATTAGGAAGAGAAGGGAAAGAAGACCAGAATTGTGAGTTTAGAAAAGGAGGAGCATAGATATTTCTGACAATAAAAGAGGAGGAATGAGAAGAGATGGATATATCCATAATACGTTCATCAGAAGAAATAAAGGATAGATTTGTAGAGAATGAGGGGTTGATAAGGGTAATGAGGTGTTTTGTATAAAAGAAATGTCCTGGCCATGTAGATTTTAAAAGAGAGAGAGTAAAAGAAGAAGGTGTAGAAGATTGAGATGTAAAGGTTTCTTGAAGGCATATAATGTCAGGTTTATGTGGGGAGAGCATGGAAATGATGGATTTTAGTTTATGATGATTTGACAAACCATTAACATTCAGAGAGATTATTGTAGGAGCAACCATCATAAGAATTACTGTTTGTTTTGGGAAGAATGATTAGTATTAGTAGGGTATGGGGAGGAGGAAGAAGAATGAGGATTAGTATGTCTACTACTACGAAGTTTAGAACGATGATTAGTAGTCTCATAAGTTTGATTATCTTCAACTTTCTCAGTTTCAATTTCCATAGAGTTGTCTTGTGAGGAGGCATTGGTATCAGTATTGATATTATCAGACATATTTGAGAGTGGGGAGGAAGATAAAGAGGGAAGATCATTAGTAATGTGATCTTGTTTATCAGATTCATTTGACATTTGTGTCTTAGGAGCATGGATAGAAGATTGAAGAGAATTTTGTGATATGGATGTTACAGTGGTAGCAGAAGATTGAGGGTCTATATTCATAGTTGCTTGAGAGACATTAGGGTTAGTGTTAGTACTGGATTTATTTTGAGAGTTAGTAAATGCAGCATAGGTTTTTCTTGGATTAGGACGTGGGTGAGGACGGAGAGGACAATTGCTATTCATGTGGTCTTGTTTATGGCAGTAGAGGCAAATTGATGCTGAATTCAAAAATGTAAGAGCAATTGAAGAATTGAGAATTGTTAGGTGTACTGGGATTTTCTTGTCTGGGATAAGTTCAACAACTGCATCCCATTTCGGAGTTAAGAAATCAGTATCAGAGATTAGAACAGGAGCAATTTCTTTAACAGTACAATGAGGGGAAAGAGCATTTGTGATTGCATTAGTAATTGTATCACGTGGCATAATGGGTAGACCATGTAAGTGAACTACAATGGAACGTCTAGGGACAGATTTGGGCGGAGTAAAGTAAATGCGTTTGTCATTGATAATGACAGAGCTTAAGGAGAGATATTTTTCGTAAGTATTAGCATCTTTGAAAGTGAGCTGGAGAAAGCGATCAGCCGGAAAAAAGGCAACGCCAAGGAGATCGTTACGAAAATAAGATTTGATAGCATTATCAGATATGTTGTTTGCTTTACGATCAATGAAGAGACTGTTAGGAGAAGACGTGTCAGGGGGGACGCGACCTACAAAAGGTTTGTTGGTAAGTGATGACTTGGTGTTTTTCCAAGAGAATATGGTAAACGAGCCGTCGGGATTGACTAACGGAACGCTCGTGGGAATAACTTTAATAAGTGAAGTAGACGGAGGAGGGGGTTGCTGAAGAGCAGCAGAGTAGGATAGAGAAGAGGAAACAGCACTAGAAGAAGTTGATTGGTTGAAAACATGTTTATTGACTCTTTAAACGGGGCAGTAGAAAGGAAAAAAGTCCAGGAGGACATGAACATCTTATTAGGCGTCTCAGTTCTTAATAAAGAAACATCTGTGTGCGACACCAAAATTCCACATGCAACACAAGATTTTAAGGCTGATTACTGGCTGAAAACGTCGTACGGACAGTCACGTTACTGTAACCGATTCTGGGTAGTTGTAGTTTTCACACCCTTGTCTGCAGCATCCCCCATTTAAGATTTTTATAATTGCTGCACCTATGTCATGGGATCAATAGTTGTACATAAATCATCAGATTTGCAACACACAGTACAATTTAATCGGCTTTCCCACGAGTTGTCAAACAGTTTTGTATCAGAATGCGAAATATATAAAGCTAGTATTTGCGAACGAATACCAGAACAACCTGACAATGAAAATCGGTAAAACAAATCGTCTATCGGTTCGTTGGTCCTTCTTAATCAGCATGGTAACTCTCTGATCTGTAGCATGCCTCCAGTTTAATCCACTCCTTGGCGAAGTTGAGAGAAATCAACAGACTGCTACTCGCATGTTGGAAAGGTAAGAATATAGTCACGTGGACGGAGAAGGAAGGAAGAACATGCTTTTCATGATCACACAAGCTAAACAACCCACGTCAATCTTGCAAAGATTTACGTCAGATGATATAGACATACTTGTCTTGCCTGAAATGGCATTTTCAGGTAATGTGAGATCGTTTGACATTTACTGCTAATATATTACCTATCTAAATGTCCATTCTTTCCAAAAGGCTATTCATTCAAAAGCAAAGACCACATCAAGCCTTATCTGGAAGATGCGGAAACAGGAACGACTGTCCGATGGGCAAAGCAACAAGGTACTTTACTTTGCAAAACAACCGAGCGCCAAACATCTTGCCCTCATCATTATTTCTTTTATCAAGCCGCCCGACTAAATGCCTATGTGATGGTTGGCTATCCCCAAATAGTCAAAGGTAAAGGAGTATAATAGTCCCAAGATCACGATTGCATATCATGCTGATTGTCTCTGGCGCGTCGAAACGAACAGGGAATCCTGACAAGTATTACAATAGTGCATGCTTTGTCGCCCCATCTACCGAAGTTCTTGCGACATATCAAAAGCACTTTTTATACGAAACCGACGAGAAATGGGCAGAGGAAGGTCCAGGTTTCATGTCGATTGATGTACCGGGCCTCGGAAAAGTATGTCAGCCCAACGCAGGAGGCATCGTTTTTCCATTACAGCGCACTCGCAAAGAAAAATAATCATTTATCTCTATACTAGGTTGGTCTTGGTATCTGTATGGACATAAACCCTTATCGTTTTGAAGCGCCTTTCACTGATTTTGAGTTTGCAAATTTTCATCGCGAGCAACAGTCAAGCATAATACTATGTTCAATGGCGTGGTTAGTGAAAAAAGACGAAGAAGTGAGTGAAAGTGATGGTGATGAAAATGATCCTAGTACTGCAAATGATTTTGATTCGATTGATGAGGACGAGTATAATAGCGTCATGGAGGTTTGCAACTACTGGTGCATGAGGTTATTGCCAATATATGATGATGCTTGGGCTAATAATAACCAGTCAAGTGAAGAAGACGTTAAGCATAATGGGAGGAACAAGAAAGACAAAATTCAGGGAAGCAGCAAACTCGAGTCGTCTCAAAAAATAAAGCGACCGGTAATATTAGTTGTTTGCAATCGGGTTGGCACCGAAGGTATGCTTTGATTTACAATTGGAAGTTTACTATGACATATACGATGAACGCGAAATGATTGATTATTACCCAATTAAAATTATAGATGAAACTTTCTGTGGTACTAGCTCCGTGTTTGCATTATTGAACCATCACCCATTAGTTCTCGATCACTTGCAAACTAAAGAAGAGAACGTCTTGATCGTAAAAGATGAAACCATTGAGCAAGCGGCTAAATTCTTGAATCAATAATATTCCGAGTGCGGCTTCCATTTTATCGTTGGTCACTTGCTTAATTCATAACCGCTTTTTCGTTTTCGTTGCTCTTACTCTTGGCTATTTATTTGCTTGTTCGTTTGTTTATTTATTTATTTCTCAATGTTTTTATATCAACGTGTCGTGGATTGGCTGGTTTTTCATTGTTAGTAAAATCAAGATTATTACGACTCGCAGTAAGACCGCGTTAAGAGGAATTTAATTCTGTAGGATGAAAGCGGTAATCTTGGATTTGTCCACAGAAAGTTGATTGCTCAATTATATTATTGCTACAGTACTTAACATAGTGATTCTCTTTTAATATTAATGTTTTCACCGACAAATTGTAAGTGACATTTCTGCATTAGGCGGAATTCCCTCTTTTAATATTAAATGAACGTTCAATAGCATGTCGAAACAAAGTGATTGAGTTAAAATGTTACAGATTCAAGGATATGGCGACTGGTATTATTCCCCGACACTTGCTATTAGATCAAATAGTAGCTAGGAATATTTCCAGAAAATTCTTCAGGAACGCAAAACGCTACCATCCGTATGAGGTAACCTCGGCGTTGACCATCCGATTTGACATAAATTCTCAACACCGGTATTTTTCTTTATCTATAGCTAGTTCCCTACAGGACGAAACGACAAGTTCTAATAAACCATTGTTAAGTATGTAAATTTGCCCGTAGTAGGGTGAATTTCCGAATTTGGCATTATTTAGGAGGAGTAACCAGAGAGTGCATTGAAATGTGGTGAAATCACCATCATCGTCAATTTTACATGCAGCGGATCCTGTTTATCAAAATATGCTGCTCACAACGTATACTATCATGGTGAATTTGATGAGATGTGAGATGGCGCTACCATTTATTACGAAAATAAACACTTGGGGCCCAAAGATACCTTATTGCTAGCCCAATATACAGTAATTATTTGAGTTAAAATCGCAAACCGCAAATTTTACGACCCCAAGTAGTATAGGATGTGGTAAAACGGCTTGCGATCTGTTATAGATTTTAAAATGTAGCTCGGCGAATTGCCTGAATAATCGAGAACCAAGTAGGTTAATAAGTAGAGAATTGAGTAATGTATACTCTACTTTGATATCTAACTTCTATAATCATGGTCTGTAGTATCGACAGTTTTAGTTAATGATACTTCACTAGGCGACCCATAGAGCGTATCACATGTCCATTACTATAGTGAATGGTTGACGCACCATTTACCAGATCGCGTTTCTAAGTTTGTTAAAAAAGTTCTTGTTGGTTGCTTTATCATGCCTTCGACTCTTCGTCTGGAATTTGACGTGCTCATCTGCTTTCATTTCAAATGGTTCGATATCGCATTCCTCTCTACTTGAAGGGGCTCCAAAAAATATATGGCAACTCTGTCTGCAATTCATAAAAAACGAAGTTTGGGCGTCAGAATGAAGGGGTGGGAATTTTTATAACAATGCCATAATATTTGGTTACGGAACAGTGCTATCAGTAGCCAAACGCGGCACAAGAAAACATACCATGTTCATTATTTAGCTACTCGACTGACGTAGCCAGATGAAACGTATAGAGTCTTCCATTATACAGTACAGGAAAAAAGTTTCTGCTGTATTATAGTCAGCATACTGTATACATGTATTCGACAATTAGACAGAGCAGTCGGTAATACTCCAAATTGACTGGTCTGACAATTTGACTTTCATGACATTAATGACAACGAACACATTATTCGGTGCTTCTAAAAATATCGAATAATCCAAAGTTTGTGTATTAGACAATAATAATGAATGAAGCTGTGACATTCTGTGTCACTTGACCATTCTGACCTGAATGAGGTGTACATTTTTTTCTATTTCTCCCCCACGTGAGTTTCATAATATGTAGTCACAGGCAAATGAGTTTCCGAAAGTAACTATCTCCTTCCGACAGCAAATATTGTCTTTATTGAGGAATTGATCCAATCAACGATCACTTCAGTGGCTGGTAATCAGGATTGGAATTGGGGTAAGAAGAAGCATAATGTACGTTGTGCGAGGCGTGAAAGCTTTGGCCAAAGCGCAAGTGTTCGCGGGTGATAAGTTGATTTAAGAAGGGATAGTGTAGTAAATGAGCACATGTCTTATGAATAAATATTTTTGATGCAATTAAATGTCCTGATGAGATAAATACAGTTATTGATAGTTTAAATATGTAAAATGATTACTTTTCTGTACTGATTCTATGTCCGTGCAATTATACTCCATCCTCAATCCAGATTACGATCTAAAAGTGCCTTATATTATACAAGCAAAAGAAAAATGACAAAATCAGTTCATCCTATTATACAGTGAGCACAGAGTACTCTCTACATAGAGTAGTCTATATTCTAATGAATAATGATCCAACATCCGAACGTTATTGACTGAACGCCGTGTTGATTTCAATTGATTTTTTGTAGGTTGGGACATTCCTTTTGTAGCTTTAATTTATCCAACTGACTAATGAGATTTCCAGAGTACAACCCGAGAGTCTTTAACTTTTTCAGCTGGCTTATAGCGCAGATAATATCCTACAGAACGATGAGATATTTAATAATGTCGTTAATCGAACAAGCAAGCTTGCATAAGGGTTAGTCCTAAAACACCCGATTACCATGCCAACCACAATAATCAACACTATTATCATCTTATCCCTTTACCTAACCCCTCACATATTGCTTCAAATACTCACCTCATCATTCCCAACGCCATCTAGTTTAGCATCAATAGTCAATCTCTCAATCTTCCTACATCCATCACATATCCCTTCCAACTCACAAAACTCTATGTTGGCTCCAAAATAACTCAGCTCGATTATCGCCTTACACTCTTTCACTCCCACACCATTGATTTCTTTACACTGATACAACTTTAATTTCTTTAATTCGCTACACGTTCTCCCGAATGTAGCAACAACATTATCCGTAAGTTTTGACATATTACGAAACGTCAGCTCTTCCAATCGAGGAACGCTCTTGGCCAGATGTAGCAGACCCGAGTTTATTTTGAGTGCCTGCAGAGAAAGACTATACAATGCTGGGAAGAAAGAAACCTCCGCGAAGCCACTGTCAGTGAACTGGCACTCGTTAATGTTTAGTATCTGAAGAATGGGAGTGCATGGAGCTGATGATAGTGTTTGGAGAGTCTTGTCGGTGATGGAAGGGCATTTGACAATCGTTATACTGTTTATTGCATGGCAATAAGATAACAGAGTGTGTATTCCATTGTCCGTCACTGGACACCCATGAATTTCAATTGATTCTATGGATTGTGAATATTGCGCAATTAGAGATAACGTCTCGTCCGTGGCATTCTTTTGCAAAACGATAGACCTCAAGCGACGCCAGTTTTGTAGTAAGCTTTCAGTCAGGCTGTCGTCTATAAAGGCTTGTTTACTGAAGCATATAGACTGTACATTCGAGCAACACTTTGACATTAAAAGCGCATCTGCTTGGTCTGTAAGGATCCATTCATAAACCATGCGATTGTAAGGAAGGAGAGTCTTGTGCGTCGCAGCGTCCACCATGGTATGAATGAACTTGTGCAGTTTCTTTGGTATAGGGCGGCGGTAGAGGTATGGTATAGCGGAGGCATACCAGTGTGAAGATACTTGAACACAGTTATATAAAACGCGTTGTTCGGTGAGGTGTTTGAATATTTGACTAAGAATGTAATGGTTTTGAAGTGGGTGATAATGATGCATTTATGAGGAGGCGAATAAGCGGCAAACGGAGGGAATAGAAAAAGTAGCAAGGGAAAATGGAAAGTATGCAGGGTTAATAAGCAGTGTACTTCTTAATTAAAGTCGTGATTTAAAGATTTCAGCGTTTGATTATCCAATGATCAATTACTTGCAGGTTTTTATCAGTCTCAAGTTCAGTTGACGTACTTTTAGTACTTCTATTTATAAAACTTTCGGTTTTCTCGAAAGACACGAAACGAAGTTATCCCGCGGCTATTTGCAAGCCTTCCTACGACTATGGCTAGCTTTTTGTGTAACACAACTTACATACCACTCTCTCTTTGCTCTTTCTAATTACTTACTGTAGAATAAATCATATGACTTAACATGTAGGCATGAGTCAAAAAAACTTGTTTGAACAGTTGCTTCAACTTATTCCAAATTATTATTCTAATATATAAAATGGGATTATTTGTCGAAAATAAGAAATTACTATCAACACAGATCCTTCTCATCCGGTCTGTTTTATCCGGCCGTCAGAATAGATCACTATCGATACATTTGTCATATTATTTGAGGTTGTTCCAATCAACATCGGCTGCAGATGACATAGTTCCAAAGGTCTCGCTAGCTACAGACCCAACATCACACCATTCTTCTTCAGAAGCAGCTACTCGTTTCCTAATGGGTTTCTGTTCAGCCAACGTATTGCTATCAACAGTAGTCTTATTATTGTTCTTGTCTGCCTCACCAACAGCCGGAATAGACGATAAACCGGTCAGCGCAATTGGGTCAACCACTCTGTACGGAGGAGGGGATGTTTGCTTTATATCTGAATTGTCAAAAAGCGCAGAAGCAACAGCGGGCGTGGAAGAGACAGCTGTGAGGTCAGTAGTGGACGTTTGATGAGCTTCAGATGTACCATTTTCGGAGGAAGCGGGACTTGAGTGGGAATCACTCAAGGATTCGAGGTATTGACGTCGACGCTGGATCTCTCGTTCGCGCTGAAGGAGTTGATCCTCTTCGGCAGCCAGCCGACGTTTACGACGTTCGATTTCTTGTTCTACTGCCGTGAAATAAGAGAGTTGTTCGAGAAGTCTTTCTTCTTCTTCAGACTGTAAAAAATCATTTTCGCCCAAGAAACAACGGATAAACATACTATATCGACAGTCGGCTCTATGAACAAGAATAATTAGTCTATTGACACTTACGTCGTGCTTCTGAATCATGCTAACTTGAGAAGTCGTCGCTTGCGAATCGCTAGACCTCTGCCTGGAAGTCCTCGTTCTCGTCCTCTGCCGTAAGCTAGTTGCTTCCGAGGCGACGACGGAAGTACTCATATTAGTACTCTGTTTGTCTTCTGACTTGACCTTGGTCTCTCTCTCAGACTTCTCATTGTCAACCAAGACGTCTATAGGTTCATCAATATATTCTTTGACAGCACAATATACGGCGTAGAGAACCACTACACCGCCAACAACCATACTCGCAACTACAGCTGGGTGCATCATATTGTGAAATGAATGTGAGGAGGAATAGTTTCGCCTTTGATACTGGTGACGTTTGTGGGAATAGGCTATTCTTATGTAACCGATCGGCAGCCAAATAGATCACTTGACTCATAAATACTAAAAACCTTTACGTCACGCTATATGACGAAATATCTAATACTACGACGAGTGGTGAAACAACTATCACTTGTGCGGGACATGTGGAGTTTATACGAGTTTGTTTACAAGATGATGCCGCACCTGTATTAGTATGCCAGGTTCTGACCGCTCGACTTGGAATTGTTAGAATGCATTTTTAATACATAGTGTGTCACATATATTGGTTGTTTTTACGCTTAAAAGACGGATCTGTTACACCAACCACATGATGTGCAGTAGACAGATTTACAAGAGTCGATAGAAATTACATCATTACAGAATGCGCATTCAAATACCATTCCACAAGACATCTGTTTTTTCATCAAATCCTTCTAAAATAAGACTCACAAATTCTGTGAATGTGCTTAAAGAGTTTTTGGAAGCAGCAGAAGGCCGTGTACTGGTTTTGACAGGTGCAGGTAGGAAGAATATGATTAGTGAGTCGACGACCGTCAAGCAAAGAGATGAACGTTCGGCGTTTTCGAATTGTAGGAATAAGCACCGACTCTGGAATACCAGATTACCGTGGACCAAACGTAAGAAGCGCTTTTCTAAGCATTTGAAAAAATGTTAACGCTATCCACTTCGCGTAACCTGCTTTAACCTTTTCTGGTAGGGTACATATACGACTAATAAAACATACAGACCAATATTTTATCACGAAGTAAGATGCTACCCTTTTTATTTTATCTCTATGCAAAAAAAATTTTGATCTTGTTGTTTACCGATCATATAGTTTGTCCAACATCACCGCTTTCGACAGCGATACTGGGCTCGTTCGTATTTTGGTTTTCCATCTATTGCCAAAGCGCTTCCAAACAGTGCTCACTACGCGCTTACCACTCTACAGAATCAGAACCTAATTTCCAAGATAATAACTCAGAATGTTGATGGGCTACATCATGCTAGTGGATCTCGTAACATTCTTGAATTACATGGAACGTTGCACGAGGTCAAATGTCTACAATGTGGATATACAAGAAAAAGGACAGACTTTCAGAGTACATTGGCGAAATTGAATACAGCATGGACAACATATAAAAGGGCTTTTGAACAAGATGGTTTAACGCCGAAAGTAAATCCGGATGGTGACGTTGAGCCGCCTGAAGGTACAAGCTATGACTTGTTTATCTACCCACCATGCGATAATTGTAAAACAGGGATATACAAACCAAGCGTTGTATTTTTTGGAGAGAATATTCATCCACGAGTAAAACAATATGCTGACCAGATGATACAAGAGTGCAATGCATTGTTGATAGTTGGCAGTTCATTGGCAACCTATAGTGCATTCAGGTTGGTCAAGACGGTAAAAGAAATGGGGAAGCCTGTGGGGATCGTAAATTTAAGGAGTACACGAGGGGATGATTTGGCAGACTTTAAGATAGAAGAGAAATGTAGTGATTTATTCAGAAGAGTGCTTAATGGAGACAAGAAGATTGATAGAAAGCATGCAAGTAGGTGAACTGAGTGTTAAACGAGGAAGGAGTTGCTGGTTTATATAAGACCTAATTGTGCGTTTACATATCTCAGGTTCAAATGCAAGCATGTGTAACTTACTTTGTCCGCCATCTTAAATAAACGAGTAATTATTTATTAGAGTTTGATCGCGTTGAGAGCTTGCGCAAGTTTGGTTTGTCTATTTGGAAAAGATAAACTGTGCTGAATGAACGAATGACAGAATGGATGGTTGGATGGAAAAGTCTGATGATAGAGTGGTGAATCCACTATTCACAAGCATGGGTCCAATTGAGTAAGGGGAAAATGGAAAGGTATATGTATGGTATTGAGAATGTTTCCAGGAAACATAATGGGGAAAGTTATTATTAAGGCATCATATTAATTTAAAATGTTAGTCAAGTTCGTCTCTAAATAAACGCCTTGAGTTATTAATAAGTAACTCTAAAACAGATTTATTTGAATAACAATTTATTGATGTGGCTTGATACTGAACTATGGAGAGCTTAGCATTATCATTATTATTATAACTTTTATTGCATTAAACATTAATTGAAATTTTACACTGTAATTTACATCAATGATCTTTCTCAAATTTATTATTAATGTTAAAGCCCTGTAACGCACTAGAATCGCGAAACTCCTCCTAGCCAAGGTCAATAGTATACAAAACGTACATACATGACAGCTCGACTTTCTGACCAATGAAGTAGTGAGCAAGCAAACTTTTTCCCCTCGTAAATTATGTTTGCTCTTCAACTCCTTTCTACTTTTGCAAACGCCTATGCTAATTTTTCCTTATCTTCTGAATTGCTGTCAGAATCGGGCTGTTTTCTTAACTTTTCCTCCAAGGTGTTAATTTGATTTTGGAGATTAGTTCACCCTCGCATATATCGGCGAAATTGGCCGGTCCCACAAGTTCACCGTAATGCGTAAATACAGTTCAGATCATTGTAAAAGACCTGAGCATTCCCCTACGCCTTTCATCGGCAGGTTTATGGGACTTATAAATTTTCCGGGGTGTTAGTTATGTCCAATGTTCATTGTAAAAGATCTGATAGCATTTCCTTACGCCTTGTCGGTCACTATCATTGGCGGGTTTATGGGACTTGTAAATCTTCTGGGGGTTTAGACGAACTTGCCTATTGACACGTTTCCACTCTTCCTTGCATCAAGAAGCTTGATAAAAAATTTATCACCGATTTTATAAATAGTCAAATGTCTTTACACCTATGATTCCGACTTTTTTGAAGAATGAAAAGGTCTTTGCTATACCTTTTGTTGGTCGCATTGGGTAGGTGAACTATGCTGTTCCGGGCATTCTCTTCACGTCTCTTGTTACACGGAAATCTTCCAATCATTCGGCACAGCGTTGTATATTTCGTTCACAGCATGTTTTTCCACGATTTACGAGATTTAAAAATCACGACATGGGACGGTTGTTCCAATAATTCCTCGACAAGATCTCAACAAAAATTATCACGAGTTGTATGCATCAAAATAACCCGAGTTTTTATATGCTTTCTTCCAACTATTTAAATTGTAGCATCTTTATCTGCTTTGCAGGACTATCAGAAAATAACGCGTTTATATCATCTTCACCATTGTCGTCATTAATCGCATCTTCGATTTTTTTGCTCTCTTCCATATTTTCTGCTTATTAAAATGGACCAAGGTTTCCAACTGCGGAGACATTGAAATTTGGGCGATAATTATTCCGTAATATTCACCATATCTTTTTCTAATTTACGTAAAGCAGATGTACGTATTTTTTTCCATCGCCACCAACAGATGAAAAAGAAACGTAGCTTGACGTGTATTTCCTAGAGGCTGTAAATAACTTAAGACTTGCAATATATGAATTCATCTAAAGCAGATATTGTTAAGTATTTTACTAATGCTCCCAATATTAGCGACACTTAGTGCGTTCACATTAATGAAATATACTTTATCTTTTCCTATTTTGATTTTCGCTTTCTCGATTTAGGACATGAATCTTTATTAGTATTAGGAAATACATAAATAAGTGTGTGACAACAACGCTATCGTTCATTAGCCAAAAGCGCACTGATGTCATCGTAAATGTCATGTGAATGCGAAAACGTACCGAGACTATGAAAATGTTTGACGATGCAACTAAAGAAACCGTTGATCCGATCGACAAGTTTACAAGCTTTTTAGCAAACGCCAAAGGGAATTTGACATTAGTAATAGTTTTTCTCTTTTGAGTTCGAGTCATTATTAATACTCGAAAATTCAATTGATACTGGGTCATGAGATGTCATGACGGGGAGATCCAATCATCTCCTACCATCTTATCAGATCATTTATTTCCCAAACACAACTACACCTCTTTTTAACCTTTAAAACATACGAACATTATTATAACATGAGCGGTTGGAATATATTGTGGGTTCTAGCCGGCGTCAGCGGTGCTTGTACAGCCTCTTATTTCCTGGCACCTAGTGGTCAAAACCAAACGTAAGTTTAGAAGCAGAATGTGTTGTTTAGAAATGCATTCAGTGAAAATCGAGTAAGGTTTTTAATCTGCCATGAACACATGTATCTCATAGAACAATACGAACTGTACTTATTCTGACTCTCATATGCTGTTACTTGATGTGAGTACCTGCCCTATTTCTTTCGTTTGCTTTTGATATAAATGTTAAAGACATGTCTCAGGTCTGTTGTTACTTGACGATTAGGTGGGCTGTTACATATCTTGCCCAATTGCACCCGTTAATAACTCCAAAACGGACTGATTTACGTCCACCTCATGAAGAATCGTTATAAAACGAATATACTAATTTGGGTTATCGAAGTACCGTATCGCCGCTGGTTCTAATACCGGGAAGGTACTATATTAGAGGAGGGAGGGATATTGTACCAAGGGAGTACATTGGTGAATTAATCTAAAAAAGAAAATTTGTGTACTTTAGCATTCTCTTCGCAGTATGTTTAGCGTTAATAAAAATATTCGCTATGCAAATACAATTCGGAAGATACAATGTCAATGGGATGCACGGGAATTATGATAAGTAATCTTTCAATGTTAGAGGATATCAGAAAAGAAAGACGGAAGCGAAGTCTTTGATCTTATAATGGGGTTGTGCACAGTACCAGTAACGGCAGAAGGTTTGTTATAATTATAGAGGAAGAAACAGGCATAGTTGATAACTCAAAAATGTTGGGGATACGGTTGAGATGATTATGCGTATGCAAATATGACCAACAATTGGGAAATCGGTCTTGACTGTACACAGCTGCATTAATATTAATGATTTGAAATAAATCCTTTCATATACGATTTTTTACTTTTGGGTAGCAGTATTAATTCTATAAAATAGATCGTAATTGATTTGTCTTGCACGATCAGTTTTGCTGAAGATGCTACGTACCGATACATACTTGATACACTTCATATATACGTACCTGCGTACTTTATTAGTATAGGACCTAGTCCCTACTACTGAGCAAATGGGAAGTTTACTATACTAGTGCAATACGGTAGGGGTTCAGCATCATTCAAGAGTATATTGCAATCTATTTTAATTTACGCATAGCTCTCGACACGTTTTCTATATTGTATATAATTATAGTTACATTTTTATTTCCTCATTTCAATCGTATTTATCACGTCTAGTTTTGTAATTGTATTGATGCTATATCGAAATACGATGCTAGATTTTCTGCAGTTTATATGCTCATCAACGTATAAGACCAACTAACCAGAGGTAAACATTCCCCATGTTAATCTTTCGACATGGTCTACCTTGCGATTTGTGTGTCTCGTAAAGCCTAAAAATTGGAGTTCGCCAATTCCATGAATAAATCGTGCCCTGTTCCCGATAGAAAACACACCGAGTTAAAGAATAACGCCTGCAACGAAATTCAGCATTAATCTGTTACGCAAAGGATACTGCGCCTCGTTCATTTCGATTGGTCCTGCTTTATCCAGCACGTGCTTAAATGCAACAAACCAGTCATACAAATTAATTAATCTTCCAAATTCCAGATATAGTTTATACAATATACACGTATCGTTTTGTGTTGGTAGTATTTCATCAAGAGCGCTTTGATCTTCAAGACAGCAATCGCAACGAATGTAATGACTCGGCTGACCAAGTGCTGTTTGTAATGCCTCTCGCGGTTGTGCATTGAACGCCTGTATAAGTCAACCGACTAAATGTCAAATTTAGCAACTCAACTGCCTTTTGAACGTTCACTTTTCCACGTTCATAGCAAACACCAGGATTAATTTGTGCCACAGCCGAATAATTAAACAGCGGACTTACCTTCTTGAGCAAATTAACTGCATCATAATAAGTAAGTTCGTGCAATGGAATTGATGAATAATGTCTAAGATTATCCCTGTAGTGATAAGGTCAGCTGTATATTCCAGATTGTAATGTGTAGTGTGATTAACTCATGAATAACACAACAAACCTAAAAAATCCCTCAAAAAATCCTACGACGTCTTTGCTTAATTTTGTGTCATCATTGGTGGAATTCGCTTTATTTCTCATCATTTTGGCTCGCGATCTGCTAACAAGACGCTCGCCGATAGATAGCGGTTCACATTCTAATCCACTCATATTAGCATCATTCGAACCGAGCTTCTCAGCAAAGCCTTCCAGTAGAGATATTGTTTCCATCAGTTCAACTATGCCATCAACTCGTTGGCTCATATACTCCTTGCATGCAATGACAATCTCCCTTAGTTTCATGCAGTTAAGCTTCCTATTCATTAATGGTTAGCAATACATCCTGGTTACAGTAAACAACTTTCAAAAGCATACGACATTTACCTCAAGTGCAAAACAACGGATTTAACATAATCGGATTCACATAGTCCATTCGTTTCCTGTAATGCCATGAGATATAGATAATATTTCTGTTTCCTCATGGACGGCTCATTTAATGAGTTTTGTATTATATAAATAAAATTAAATGCTATAGAAAACTTCTTCTGATATAGCTGCATCTCCTCGATAAATCCGGGAATTAATGATTTGAGATAATTATTGTCTTTTAATAATTTCACGACTTCTTGATAATTTGGCAAACGCGCTTCGACGAATCTGTGTGAAGACAATACGTGTGAGAAGAATGAAATATACTCAATACAGCACAGTGAATGGCACTTACTTTCTAAAAGATGCCTGCATTCGGATAATTTCCAAATGCTCATCTGTCAGCAGACGCAGTCTAGCTTGAGCCTCTTCTCGATTGATATTACTTAAGAAACTTAAGGGATTCGCGTAGTAATGATGCATGACGGCATACTATTTACAAAGACAGGTGAATAAGCAGTAGTAAATAAAACAATCACAGACTTACTTGAGTCAAACCTGCAATTTTGACACATAAGACGAAATCGAATAATTCAACAATAAATATGTATCCGTCAAGTATTTGAATGGCGCTAGACCAAGCTTTATCCCTTTTGATTCTTCTATGATTACCTTGTAACAAAAAAGTGCATGAGAAATTTAATAATTCGAAAGCCTTCCTTATCCTTCGTACAAACCTCGTTCACAAGTAGATTAAAACATTGATGAGGCTGCAGTAGAGAAAATTTCTCCATTCTTAATAAACTCAAGGTCGATTTTGGAAGCGTATCGTGTAATATTTCTATTATTGTGGCAATGCCTATTAAAAAAACTATCGGGAGTCGTTCTCTATATTCACTGTTCTCAACGATAGAAGGCGGGATTATGATAATAAAAAGGTTGTTCTTTTTAATTCATTTATTTCAGACGTCAGTTTTCCTATTGCTCAGATGAATAAAGTAATTACCTGCATATAAGTACCAAATCCTCCAATAGTTTTGGATCAAAGCATTCAAAATCTTGTATTATAACAACAAGTCTCGAACCTTGAGATCATAAGTTCGGTCAGACAATCACTGAGATTTAGTTCGGCATGCTGGTAATGTAATAGGTCTCACCATTATTACTGCAACTGGTCGTCTGGCATATATGTTCATACCATCCTGCGAGTAATTGCATGTCATATTTGGACAATCGAGATCCACACTATTGACAATATACTGATTAGATTTCTATCAATTTGTCAATAAACTCAGAACATCATTCGTACCTTTGCTCTTTTAAAAAAGACAATTTTTCCGTCTATCTCCTAGACACATGTACATTGTAAGCCTATACGTATAATGTACACAAGACATCAGAACTCATTCTATAAAAAGTATAGATACCTCGTCATCGTCATCGTCCTTCTCGTAATCCTTTTGCGTGTTCATTAATTGTTCAATCATATGACTAATGGTATTCTTTAAATTAGAACAGTCTGCTGACCTCAGAGTGGCTACAGCATGACCATTTCGTTGTAATGTACAAGCAATTTGTTTGAACAATACATCGTGATCGGGAATGTTAACCCCTGTTATTAATAGAATATTCATCAGAAAGTAAGATACAATGTCTGATCACCAACACGAATTATTCTGCGACTAACCTGCGAATACCAAAGCTGTCGGTAGTTCGCAGTATGGTAGGTTCAAATTTCTGAATTCAAAAGTTAAGCAAGGGTGAGCAATTGGCCAAAATGCAACTGACAATCTATCAACCAACCCTGTATGCGTTCAAATACACGCGTCATTAGTAGTACGGAGTTCAAGAAACAAAACTTACTGTAAGTTGGATATATCGTGGACATCATTATATGCAGTGGTCACGAAATTAACAATGTTTTCTATCGAAAACTTGTTGATATTGGCCAGAAGACTCTATCAAGAAATTCCATCATCAATATAACTCGGATGTCGCGATTAATACAGCCTCATCTGTAACAACATACATCAATCCTATTCTTCATCTCAGACCATGTTCTTTCGTATTCTTTGACTCTCAATTTAAGTGTCTCTACGGATTCTGTGCCGTCAATAAGTCGCTGAAAACCAAAGTACTCACGATGATAGGGATTATAGTACGTGCCATCATCTTTGTGTGCTAGTTAACCAATATTAACCTTATATATTACAAAAAATCCTTACAAATGTTTTATATTGATAGAATCCAACAATACATGCCAGCTTTCGACGCGCTTTTTTTAAATTCTACGGGTTCTCCCGGCAGAATTACGAAACATCCCTAAGCATTGAAGTAAATTATTGCCAGACTCACAACAAAGTCAAGGCAATGCATTATATCCGCTTACCTTTGTAACGGAGTCAAATGGATCCCGGGCTTGGATTTCAGACATAGTATTCAGTCGATAGTTGAGTCAACTTACCCGTTCGAGGGTTCTGAATATGATCGCTTTTGGTGTAACCTATTCCCGTGAACCGAACGCGTCTTATTTTATGAGTGGGTGATTACAACTTTTTATGCAAATCTGTCTAACATGGAGACGGCTACGAAAGCTCTTCGTCTGGAGTTCGAGCAAGCACGTACAGGTATAACATCACACGGCTAAATTACTGACAAGAGAAGCGGTATGTCATTAACAATGTGCCCGTTTCTGTCTTACAGAACTGGAATGCATAGAAGCTAAGCTAGAAGCAGAGTTCAAACGAATGTATGAAATTGAACGACGTGCAACCACTAATCCTTATGAAGTAATTACACGACTGAAGAAACTGAAACAGGAACTTGAGACGTTAAAGCATGATAATGAGCTTGTCACGGTGGCCAAGCAGGTAACACATTTACACTTCACGATATGCTTTAATTAAACATGTGCTAAATGGATAACGTAACATTCCCTAAGGAATTCATTCACGAAACTGAAGCACAACTTGCAAAAAATCATGATTTACTGGTGGACTTGCAAAATAAAGCATCAATTAAAGTAAGCGATACGGGTTCATTATGGTGCATATACTCTGTGTAAAATGCTAAGGAAGTCGATTTTATAATCAGCGGGACCCCGATCTTTCCCATACTTTGGAGAAATTTACTACCCTATCCGGAAATTGGCAAAATGATATCAAGGCTAGTTATTAATGGATTCGCGCGTGACAGTATGTATCTATTCCTTTTACTTATCTTTCTAATTTCAAGTTTGACGCACTCAAGCTTTCTCTTTAGTTACATGTAATGGAAATAGGTCCTTTCTAATCACAATCTGTAGACGTTTTAATCCTGAAAACCTTTTTGGATGTTATATTAACGTAAACCGTGAAATTATCCAAAGTCTGTCAGTAAGCTCGTGAGGGATTATTCGGCAAGTGAATATGGAAGCTCTAAATTACCAATGTCTTACCTAGCGTATATTGCAACCGTGTGACGAATATACTTACTTGCAACGGAGTCCCTAAACCTTATCATTACATCAGCCGTCTCATTTCTTATATTTTATAATATAAACCGTAGACAGTAATCTTGAGGTCCGTTCGACGTTTTTTATCAGCATTAGTCTGAGCAAAATGCTTAGAATTACAACCTTTTGTTCTAAAGTTAGATCTTACAGTAAGGCCAAAATGGCAGTATAGCAGCAGACGATAAGGCGATTCACCGGAACGCCTGCTCACTTGACAAGCTTTAATGGTTACGCGAGAGATAACTATAGCAAATCATTGTCTACCAAAACGCTGTCCAATGTCTTGTAAACGATGTGAATATGTTACTTCATGAAATAAATATCCTTTCTTCAGTAGTTGCAATGACGTTAGCAACGAAGTACCAGCGATAGGCGGGATTAGCAGTAGTAGCTCGCAGATTTTAATAGCGAAAGTGAACATTTTGAGTGGGACTGTTATTTGATTTTTGTACATAATAAAATTATGCTTTCGACGGTTGCAATTCAACGGATCGCCTTTCTGCCTTTCTTGTTCGAGAGACATATAGGTAAATTATCAGTCGTCTCGAGAATATGCATACGGAAAGTTAATGATGTTTCAGTTAAGACGAACATATAATTTAAACTACTCAATACGAAAACATTCTCTGTGAAAAGTTGAAACCATGTTTCTGAACAATCAAGCAATTCTATGTTGTCGGTACATCTTTTTGCTGACGTAAACTGACAAATATTCTCCGCAAAACAGACATGTAAAACTTGACTATCGAAAATCGAAATCAGGCTCATACGTTTTCTTAGTTCCCCTGTGTAAAAGCAAAGCGTTCCCTCTACCACATGGCAATCCCTCGAATATGCGTGAAGGCAAAGAGGGATGACGTTGAGAATAAAAATACAAATTCTGTATTGAACATCGCAAAACAAGTAGCCGATAACGTCCAGAGGGTATAGGGAGTCATTCTAGCAATGTTTGATTCTTTTCCTATTCACCTTGTAGCTGGCCTTCTAAATAATGCAAAAGATGAACATCAATTCAAAGAGAAACAGAAATTCCAGATTCATCCTCACCTTCACTCACCACTGATCATTACCGTATCTTCTCCTTCTTCTTTGCTGCTCTCATGTTCTTGTAAAGTCTTTCGCTTGTAATCCTCCCATAACTCAACTGCTATCACCTTTCGATATTTTGTAGCAGATTCAGATTGAAGAGCGATATCTATAATGTCATTCTCTTTGTAGCCTTCCGCCAATGCCTTTGCGAATAAACAGACAAGAACCCCGCAAGAACTACCATCTGTCTGTTTTTCGTGCGGAGTTTGAATATCAAACTTGACAATCACCGGCCAATTTTCTATTTCGTTCTCAATTTCGTTCTTAACTTCGATCTTGCGTCGTTCACAGTCTTCCATGTATCTCGCATACTCATCCATGAGATATTTCTTCAGAACATCTCCAATCTCCCTTTTATACTCTTCCCCTCCCATGGAATCCCATATCTCAATCCGTTCACGTCGTTCAGATTTGATCCATATGACAACCAAAAGCCAATGATTCTCAGTCACGTTGACTGGAACAAACACAATTGACTTGCCGAATATACATGTCTTCTTCGTCCACCTTTGTACAGACGCATAGTCATATTTGAACGATAGCTTAGTATATAAGTACGTGGGAAAGGCATGAATATGATCGTGAGTGCTCATAAGTAAAGAAAGATATGCGTTAATATGATCTGAAGATAGCCAAGTGTCAGGCGTAAGCAAGGCATCCCATTGCTCGGGGCTTAAAGACTCTCCTTTAACTACTATGGAATCTTCGCCATACTTGACATGACGTTTCACCTCGCCAAGAATTGAATCGTCTTCATATTTTAACAAAGAGATTGTACTGTCCTGGATAGAATTACGAGTCGATCTATTGTTTTTCGTCAGCGACCGTGTGCGAGGTCTGTTTCTTGCAGCGTACGTGTACTCTATTACCATACAAGGGAGGAAAATCGGAAGTCAACATTCTTTTCACTTCGCGTACGACAAGGTCACCTCCTTCCTTAATTGACATATGCATCGTCGCCAACTGCTTCGTAAGCTTGCCGACTTACTTAGGTAGTCGTCACGCGAGTATTATAAAATACAAAAAAAAAGACATGGGATAACAAGCAACAGGTTCAATGTAACCAGATTTACTGCAAATATTGTAATTAATTGCTAAAGTACAAACTAAGTTGAAAAACCTTGGAGCCTTTTTCACAGGTGCACTGGAGTATAGTTCGCTGTCATTTATTTCATCAACAGACAGATCTACTATTTCGCTCGTACGGCTTCTCTCGTTTGTTTTCACGTCCTCGACTTGCATTTTGTAAAGAATTTGTTGGCTATATTGTGTGCTGCGTGGCGGCTATTTATCTGTGTCCGACCAATCACTTCAAATAATTAATTTCATGCAGGTATTGTACGGTTTTTGATGACCAAACAAACTCTAACCCCACACAATTCAATTGTATCTCTCATTCACATTAAACTTGATCACAATGACAGGTATCCTTCATCTCTTGCTTTTCAAGATCCTCTGGTATCAGGACAAGTTTTTTTCATGCTTATTACGCTATTATTGTTGCTTACGCAGACAAAATAGTCGTTCGCTGTCATACCGAGTACAAAGCGACAAGCAAAGATGAGCTTTCACTTAGTGTTGGCGAAATTGTGAAAGTTGAGGAGAAAATAGATGCTGACTGGTATTTTGCTATCAAAGATAATGGTGAAGAGGGAATATTTCCTTCAAATGTATGATCATAGTGATTACGGTCGTGTCGGGATGGATTGGTTGATTTGGATATTCAGCTTCTTTCATTATTTGTCTCATATTTTATATATTTGCCCTTAGTTTGTCGAGGAAATTGATTCTTCAGAACCAATTGCCGAAGAAGCTGCTACCGATGAATCAACAAAGGAAGCCAAAGAGCCTGATGGTACGCAAGCATTTTATTTGCAAACAATCTTTTGTCGGTCAATATCGATGTTAAATTTTCACGACGTAAACCAGTTCCCAGGCTCGCCATCGTGGAATATGATTATGTAGCTCGTGAACGCGATGAACTATCACTTCAGAAAGGCGGTGTTGTAACTGTTCTAGAACAGAACCAAGGATGGTGGAAGGGTGACTTAAATGGCAATATCGGAACGTTTCCAGCAAACGTATGTAAGATTGTTAGAACATGCATCTTCTTTTTAAAGCGGAAGAAAACACTTCTAATATCGGTTTTCTATATAACTAAAGCACGTTAAGCTTATTGAGGTCCCGAGTAATGCTGATTCCTCAGATGAGCCTGAGAAACACTGTAAGTTTGATTGTTATTTAAACTATAAACCATGATGTTTGTCATTAAGTATTCACTTTTACAGCTAAGAAGAAAAATCTTGCTGCATATGGTGTCAAATTGGGAGGCCTTGGTGGTTTATTCGCCGGAGGTGTACCAACTCTTAAGAAGACGCGTAATATCGAAGAGCCGAAGGATCAGCACAAGAAGGAAGAAAGTCAAGGACACGAGATCCCACCAAAAAAGTCTACCGGTCACCAGTCCGAAGTAGCAGAATCAGCTGCTTCCAATAAAGAGAAAAAACTGGCGTCTCCACCTGTGGTAAATTTCGCGCTGCCGAGTCTCAAGCCCTGTATTAATTTCATAGTATAATGATCAGTGATATTACGAACCCAGCAAATGAAAGTATATTTGACTTACTGTTATTGTCATATAACACAGCTTCCAGGAGTTCAAGTGCGTCGCAGTAGTTCAGAGAAGACGGTGGCAAAACCTCCTCCATTGCCACCCAAGAGTCGAAAGTCGGGAAAACCTCAACGTGAATATTTTTATTAATTTTCATTGATTCTGGTTTACGTATCTATTCACGTTGACTTGCATCTCTACTACAGTACCAAAGGCTTTGGTTATTTACGACTATGAGGCTGATGGAGATGGTATGAAAAGTTCCTTCTCACTACTCGCAATCATACCAAACGTAATCAGCTACCACTTACAATTGCCCTGAATATTGAATTAAAGATGAGATTCCATTGGCGAAGGGAAGTTATGTAACCATTCTGGACAAATCCGACGAAGGATGGTGGAAAGGACGTAATGAACAAGGGGAAACAGGACTGTTTCCCTCCCCTTATGTGGAGGAAGTGGTTTCTGTGGAGGAAAAGAAAACTGATAACGAAAGTTTGCAAACAGAAATGGCTGAAGAAACGCAGTTGTCGGATAAGAATGTTGAGAATGAGGATCGAAAGGATACAGAGGCCACAACAGATGAACCTGTTTCACAACACGAGGAACTCGAACAAGCCACGGAACTTGTCGGAAAACCGTCAACGAAATCTGTCGCGCGTTCCAAGACGCCAAGTGCTTCCGCTACTCAGCGGCCATCAAGCCCCAAAAGTGCAAGACCAACTTCTGTTCATAGCTCAGTCTCAGCACCCCACAGCCGACAAACGTCAAGTTCGGCAGATTCTCCTACAGAAAATATACCACCGGTTCCAACCAGACGTTCGACCCACGAGAGTTTACCAAAACAGTCCAAAGAGACAACAACGAAGAGGCGCTCTACTTATGATTTGCCACCATCCCCCTCTGCAAAATCCCCTAACCAAGACTCGTCTCCAATCAAAAGTCCAGTGAGATCTCCACCTTTACCGAGTCGTCAGGTGCCAAAGCCAACAACGCCATCAGAAACCGATGATACGACCGGGGGTGCAACTTCTCCACATACTGAACATCCCACCCCACCACCAAGGCCAAAATTTAGACCTACTTCTCATATCGAGACCAAGCCTGGGACGTCTAGGCCTATATCCTTAGCAAAACCACCTTCAGTCCCTCAAATTCCCAAGTCTCCGCAAGCTGGTAAAAGTGTATCACCTGGACATAGTAAACGAGTTCCAGAGGAACCGAAGAAAGTTATTACTCCGCCTGTGCCGATGGTCCCTTCTCGACCGCAAAGACGCCCTTCTGAGAAATCTGAGACTATTTCTGTTGAAGAGGAAGAGGAGAAAGAAAAAGTAGATAACGAAGAAGAAATGGAGGAAGGAGAGGAGGAGGAAGAGGTGAAAGAGAAGGAAGGAGAGGAAAATATAGAACAAGAAGAAGAGGTGGAAGAGGAAAAAGAGGTGGAAGAGGAAAAAGAGGTGAAAGTGGAAAAAGAGGTGAAAGTGGAAGAAGGAGAGGATGAGGAGGAAGTCGAGGAAGAAGACGAAGAAGAAACAGAGAAAACGCCTGTACGCGCTGAACTCGCAAAGGAAGAGCATTCGGAAGAAGAGTTAGATGAAGATAACACAACTGCTGAAGAAACGAAGGCAGTAGAAAAAGAAGAAACTGGGGTTGACACCGTCGTTGAAGAGACGAAAGACGATAAAGTTGAGGAACAAGAGGAAGAAGTAAAATCAACTTTGAAAGATGAGGAACAAGATAATGAGGTACACAGCAAGAAAGACACTGAAACTGTGGCCAAACCACCTGAACTGCCGCCATTGCCCTCTGGACCAAAACTAGGCGGTTTAGGGAAGGATAGGCCAGCATTAAAAAGAAAAGCTCAGAGTTCCAAGTCAATAAAAACTAATGCCGCCGTGAGTCAAACTGCTGCTTTAGAGGAGGCAATGTCAACTGTAAGTCCAATTTGTTTTACTTTACAATCGGCTTTAGTTTCTTTTAGTAACGATAATGATTAATTTATTACTTGTGCACAGGCTAAAGATGATGATACGAAACCTAAGAATGACACAGCAGCTTCCAAAGAAGAACCTACCGCCCGTGAAGCGCCACCACCCGTAGCAAAACCAGAAAAACCGCCCAAGCCGAGTTTCGTGAAATTACCATACGCGAGCTCTGGCGCGGGTGCCGTTCAGTTACGTTCGGTTACTAAGAAACCGGCACCTACAGTTGGGACAAGTGAGAGTACGGACGAAGGCGTGAATACCAAACCGATTGGTGGAGTAAAGTCGATTTCTAGTCGATTTAATCAGTTCAGTGGCGTCCCCAATCAGTCAGAGGTTGAATTTCGACTGAAAAAGTGGGTCAACGAAGAAATTAACAAAATAAAGGCAGATTATGAGAACAAGTTGGCGGCAGAGAGGAGTATGAGAGAGAACCTTGAGGAAGAAATCAACGTGCTTAGAGAGCGTTTGGATGCAGCCGGGATATGAGAGCGAAGGAAGCGATGGGTTTTAACAATCACGTTTAGGGGAACGCTTAATTAATTTATATTTCATTTTATTATTATTTATGTTCGATTTTTATATTATAATATTAAAAGATTGCATCAAGATTTTCTTCAAGTTTGTATATTTAACTTGCTTACGGAATCGTGATGAGGGTGCAATATTACATAATACAAGTTTAGTTCGCCACGATATTAGCATCACGACATGTGGGCTATCTGATTTGGCTATTGAATTTTGAATTTTCCTTGTTTAGAAGTGACAAATTGACGTTAACGTGTTTTGCAAGTAATATTCATAATTCCTAAATTGGTACATAAAGCATTCCCAAATTTGACCTACTCTTATCGTTATAACGTGGGGCAAATAAGAAAAAGATGTCATAACATGGGTGACCTGTAAAATGATATTTTTACGATTGCGTGGGTCTTGAAATACAGAGTTCTTGCCCAGATCTAACACATAGTTAAGAAATATCAAACCATTATTAGCACGAGGAGCCATTGCCAAGAAACTTTTGCGTTCATTCTCAAACGCGCGCGGAGTGTTCGGGTATTGTGAAAGAGGGATGTTATGCAGTGGTAAATACTAGAGGAATCAGTAACGGTTTATTACGTGGCAGAATTCTCAGACATATTTGAGATTTTAAACAACATTTCATTCCTGTGTCCACAAAGCAAGGATCTTGTTTAATCTTTTAATCCGGTTATAAGGTGGCCTAAAAGTTGATATTTCGTGAACAAAAAGCTTGTCAATGTTACGAAATGACTATCCATAACTCGGCCTTAAAACACGCAATTCAATTTCCTTAATGCCATTATGTAAATCAGAAAAGATATCCTGAATAAGAACCTCCTTACGTAATGAGTGTAGGTACTCTTTTTATTCACTGGAGTTTATTACATCACTCATTATCCTATTATTCGTTTGCTGTATGTAGAACGAAAAATATTAATCACAGCCCATATATCACGCAAACGCGAAAGACGCACATTAACATCAATCTCTTGTGAAGAAAAACAATGAGATAATTATTTGACGCGTATTGTGTTAGCGATGTGACCGGGAAAAATTATTGAGAACCTTTTACGACACGAATTTAAAAGTCGCCGCTTGTGCCAAATGTTTTTGAGACACGTGCTAACTATTACTATATTGTGTATGTCAGGTGATAGGCGAGCGTCAAGATGAGCGCGAAACATTCACCGAAAATGAAAGAAGCCTCAGGAAAGAGAAAACTATCGATACATGATTTGTTCTTTCGTGCCATATTTGTGACGCATGCACGTCACTGGACTATCCATGAATTAGCCAACTTATGCGTTCTTGAATCAACTTCAGATAGCTTTAAGGCAAAGGTATACGTGCGTGCCCGCTACATAGCCTGACTTGTCTGCGCTCATTACTTACTTTTTTCTTATAAAGACATTAGTATCTGTACAGCGATTTGTTAGCAGACTATCTGAAGCTGGCTTGATACAAGTCGCGAACATGCGAACCGACGACGAAGGTCGTGAAGTCGCTCTACTCTGCTCTTCAAGAAATTATACCGAGATTAGTCACAATTGCTTGACGGTTGGCTCTATAGAAGAGACTAACCAACATCGAGCGTTCATAGTAAGTCAGATGTTGGTACAGTCAAATTTCCGTTTAAAAATCTTTCAACGATCCAGTTGTTTAAATAGGAATGTACTTCAAGCAAACGTCTCAATTTGGCCTCAAAACGTTGCGCACCATCAAACAAGAGACCAAACCGCGAATTGTCATCTATAATTTCTGATACGCAACCTTGTCCTTCGCCCTATCGAAAACCCTATCATGCTTTGGCTGCGCGTCGGTTAACGAGCCCTCGGTCGAACGCATCAAAAGCTGCGCAAAAGCCTGCAAGGTTCGCAGAATCCATTGCAAGGTACCCAGAGCTGACCGACTTACTCGAACGCAAGAATAGTCTCGAAACCGAGATTGCTAAAATCGAAGACGGAATCAGGCGAGCAAAGATGGCGCTTAACTACCACAAACAGGTATTTGGTATACACCTATAAATCTAACTATGAAATATATTTGAACAATACAGCATTTACTAGGACAAAGACGGTGTCATTCAAGCACTCATTATTAAATGGCGAAACGCAAGCCAGGAAGCTGCAGAATTCCTTTTTAATAACATGAAAGAGCGAATGTCGATACTAGAACGATCGGGCCATACGTCATGGTTTGTAGAAAATCATTATAACTGGGACGAGAAAAACTCACCATTATCTTACTCAGATGAAGATGATACGGATGAATCGGTCAAACACGAAAACTTTGCAAATGACATGTCGATGAAATCAATGTTATCTCGGATGGGTGTTGACATTGCAATTATCAAGTGGAATGATGAAGACGAGTGCTTCGAAGACTGAACGCGTTGGAATTAACATTGACCTTGTGAATGCGCAAGTGGTTCAATGACGGCCGGGGATTATTGCCGCTGTGGTTATGTTTATAGATCAGGGATAAAGTCACTAATCGGAAATACGTTAGTGACATAAGTTAAGAACTCGATGCACAATATTAGTTTTGACTGCTTATAA